ATAAAGAAAAGTTATTTATTAGTTCCCATAATAGAAGAACTAGAGGACACCAAATGAAATTAATGGGTAGCAGGTTTAAAACTAATAAAAGAAAGTTCTTCTTCACACAGCGTGTAGTCAACCTGTGGAACACCTTGCCAGAGGAGGCTGTGAAGGCTAGGACTATAATAGAGTTTAAAGAGAAGCTAGATAATTTCATAGAGGTTAGGTCCATAAAAGGCTATTAGCCAAGGGATAAAATGGTGTCCTTGGCCTCTGTCAGAAGCTGGAGAGAGATGGCAGGAGACAAATCACTTGATCATTGTCTTCGGTCCACCCTCTCTGGGGCACCTGGTGCTGGCCACTGTCAGCAGACAGGATACTGGGCTAGAAGGACCTTTGGTCTGACCCAGTACGGCCGTTCTTATGTTCTAAAGACCAACAAAATAGTTTATTAGGTGATGAGCTTTCTTGGGGCAGACCCACTTCTTCAGATCATATTCTGAAAGTGAATTGGCATGACCAATATAACAGAGAAATACAATGAAAAAAATAAATTACAAACTAACGAATCAGCTACATAGAACAGAAGGTGGGAGCGAGGGGACAAGGAAGGAGGAAATTGCTTATTGTAAGAGTCAATTAAGTGGCTAATCTGGAGTTACTACGAATATCAGAATGTGGGGAGGCTGTCTTTATAATGTGTAAGGTAATTATCTATATTAAGGCTCATTCGCAACGTGTTGAATTTTAACATAAATAAAAGTTCTGAAGTCTCTCTCTGTAATCTGGTGTTAAAGTCTCTTTGTAGTAAGACACATGTTGTCAGGTCTTTAAGGGAATGTCCAGTTTGATTAAAATGCTGGCTGACAGGTTTCTGTGTGTGGAGATGTCTGATGTCTTATCTGTGAGCATTGATTCTCTGGCGAAGTGACTGACCATTTTGTCCAATATACATCGCAGAGGGACATTGCTGGCACATGATGGCATATAATCACATTGCTGGACGTACAGGAATATGAGACCTTGATCGGATAACTGACATGGTTAGGTCCAGTGATGGTATCTCCAGAGTAAATATGTGGACAAAGCTGGAAACGGATACCACACTAAAACTAACCCTGGAATTTTCCCTTGCAACAAACCCCATTGCCAGCTTTGTCCACATATCTACTCTGAAGACACCATCACTGGACCTTAAGTTGGCTGCCATTATGGTGCCAGGAATGGTAGCCCTGGGACAAAAAGGGATACACACAAGTGTACACAAAAATTAATAAGAGAAAAATATAAATAGAACAGAGGGCAAAAACAGTTATCAAAAGCCAAAGCAGTGAAAACCCCAGCCATGTGCAACTCTACTAGAAGGGAATCTTCACACTACATCACACTTAACATTTCTCATATGAACTACGAGTGCTTGAATTAAATTTTTGTGTGATGTTGAGGTGTATCTAAAAACAGTTGAAACATTTTAAAATAAAAATTTAAAACTTTCACACATTTTATTTGCAGAATCATTCTTCACACTAGTTTTGCTTCAGATAAGCATTTTGTATATTACATAGCAAGTATTAATGTGAATACCTTAAGTAAACCACTGTGTGTAGCTATTGTTCATAAAACCTCTGCAGCTATGTGCTATGTCAAAGACAACTTCTGTGTCAGTCTCCTGTTTTTTACAATCATTCCCCAGGGGGCCTATAAATATGTATGGCACCGGGCCCACAAACAGTTAATCTGGCCCTGGTCTTTTCTGTCAATGTTGTATTTCTGGACCCAGCAGAGAAGCAATTAGATACAGAAACAGAGGGAGCCAAAAGACACACAGCTGTCTGCTGTTCTCCCTTTATTGTTCTAGCTAAAAAACTGAAGCTAACAAGAACATGATGCTTTGCATTGTGGAGAGGTGAGTGCTCAAGTATTTAAAGGGACAGGACATCACAGATGATATGCAGGCTTCATCCAAAGTATCCCATCTATATAATTAATTTGGGGTAACTCCAGAACTAAAAGTGCTAACTAAAGTAAGACGCAGTAGCTATGTTAGTCTGTAACTTTAAAAACCAATGAGTAGTGCAGAGGCATCAAAGACACTAACAAAAATATATAGTATCATGAGCTTTCATGGGTAAAACCCACTTAATCTGATGATGAGCTGAAAGAAGAACAGATGCCCATCAGGATCACATGATATTTTAGATAACTGCTCACAAAGGTCATTAGGCTGCAAATGTTTATTTTTCTTTTTTCTTAGAAATTTGTAATCCTATATTTTGGAAATAAAAAAGGACTTCTGGGAGAATTTTTCAAGGGAGTAGCTTTTGGACCAAATCCTGGTCACAGTGAAACCTGTAGGAAGACTTCCATTGCCATAGACTAGGAGTTGGCCCTTAATTCCTGAAAGATTGCTGCACATAGATATGGCAGAGCTGGCGACTTGATGTGTCTAAAGTTCAGCTCTGCTTGCCATTTTTAATTTGATTCACGTAACTCATTTTAATCTCTCTACAAATGGAAATTCTTTTCTTGAGCTAAAATACAATACAGTCTCTTATCAGGATGTAGCAAAGTGCCTGCATCATGATGTCCTGTCCTAGATGGCTGTTTCCTTACTCCGTTTTCTGCATGCTCTAGCTCATTAGAATGTTCATCTTAGTCAGGCTTCCAGTTCATCCCTGAAACCTATCTGGTCTTTCTCCATCTCAGCCTTCTTTGCAGGATGCTTCTCAGAGAGAGGGCACTTCCTATCTTTCTCTTCTGGTTCTCAACCAACTCTTTCAGAGACAAAACTCTTCTCTACTCCAATTAGTCTTTATTTCCAGTTAGTCCTGGCTCACCCTACAAATATGCTCAGACTGGTTAAGTGGTCTATTAGGCTAATATTAATCCTTTTACAACTGGGTGGGAAAACACCCCGTCACAAAGGAATTCACATTTTTAGATTAAAAATATGTTTTACAAGATCAAAGTTTAAATTATAACTTTTGAAATAGTTTTGTAATTCTAGTTCTAAAATAAGAATGATTCAGATACTTTTTATTACTTCGAAGTATTTTTCTTATGGTATACTTTGCACAGTGCACTTACACAATATGTTAATATTCTGGGAAAGAAAAATTAATCAAGTAAGTAAAAGATATATATTTAAAAAAAAAAGAGTGTGTGCATTCTCCTGTTCCTTCATGTGTGATGCTTTCCTTTTCAAATATTTCTTCTGCATTGAGCTATACAGGCTTTAATGATCATTTGAGATTGTTTGCTGTTTGATGTCATAATAACTAGACTATATATACTTCAAGGCCTATCACTAAACTGTTTCTGTTCAGTCTCAGAGTTTATTAACCCAGGATGTGGTAATTACTGAGTTAACAGGAAGCTCTCTCAAATTACTATATTGCCCTTTGTTCCTAACTCTTCTGAAAGGCCAATCTCCAGAACAAAGAAGTCCAACTCAGCTTCTGAGACTGGCCAATGTGTCATTCCATTTAAATTTACTCTTCCTGTTATTTCTGTCCCATAAAACAAATTTTATCCTACTTTTTCCCCTATTAAGAGAAACTGTTTTAAAATTCAATCATATTTAATGTCTGAAGTTATGTGGCCTGATATGGCTTTGAGGAATAAATTTTGAGAGTAGCATATATGTAGTCAGCATTTGGCTAAGGAGTTTTGAGGAGCAAAGAGATTCATAGCAGCAAGAGTTGAGTGCTTTGCATTGGACATATATTATTTGAATATATTTGTAATATTAGCATGTGATCATGTATTTAAAGACTATATTGTAATGCATTCACACAGGATAGCATAGGAAACTTAATGTTGACATTTTCTGATATTTGAATGTTTAATCATAAAACCCCCACATTTTTTGTTTGGAATATGTATTTAGTATGTTTGAACTATTAATTGAGAATTTCAAGTTTTGGTCTGTTTTCTTCCACGTGATGTCCATGTTATATGCTTGATTGCTTGTTCTGTCTGTTGTTTGTTTTACAACATACATCTAGTTCTCTAAACTGCTTTTGATCCAAGCTATTAAAGCAAGAAGGGGACATCCTTTCAAATTTTCAATATTACTGATCCACGTGAATGTAGTGCATTTGTATGATGGTATTGACAATCACATACATTTTGGAAAGAAAATTCAATGATAAGGGACTAAATTAGCCGTTACCACTCAAGATATTGGTGTCATTGTGGATAGTTCTCTGACAACATCTTCTCAGTGTGCAGCAGTTGTCAAAAAAGCAAACAATGTTAGGAATACTTTAAAAAGGGATAGAGAAGAAGAAAGAGAATATCTTATCACCTCTCTATAAAGCCATTGTACATCCACATCTTGAATATATTTTAGCATTGGAAAAAGTTCAGAAAAGGGCAAGAAAATGATCAGGTGTATGGAACGGCTGCCATATGAGGAGATATTAATAAAACTGGGACTTTTTAGCTAGAAAAGAGGAGATGCAGAGTATATGATATAGGTGTATAAAGTTAAGACTGGTGTGGGAAAAGTGAATAAAAGAGTTATTTACTTCTTCACATAGCACAAGAACTAGGGATCACCAAATGAAATTAATAGGTAGTAGGTTTAAAATAAACAAAATGTCACACAATGCCTAGACAACATGTGGAACTCCTTGCCAGAGGATGTTGTGAAGTGCAAGACTATACCAGGTTTCAAAAAAGAGCTAGAAATTAATGGAAGATAGAGCCATCAGTAACTATTAGCAGGATGGGCAGGAATAGTGTCCCTAACCCATTTGTTTGTCAGAGGCTGGGAGTGGGTGACAGGAGAAGGGTCACTTGATGATTCACTTCCTCTGGGACACCTGGCATTAGCCATTGTCAGAAGACAGGATACTGAGCTAGATGGAACTTTGGTCTAACCCAGTATGGCCACTCTTATGTTTTTAAAGGATGATTGCTTCACTAACTTTCCTGCAGTGTTAAATCACTATTTTCTTAATGAAGAAAGTGGTATCAGCTTTCTCCTCCTATGCCCCCCCTCTTTTTTTAAGGCTGAAGAATGTGCAGAAAGAAAAAGATTAGAAAAGCGTCAAGAAGAAGAAGATAATGTGGCTGAAATTTCCAACCTTCTTCAAGGAGACTTGCTTTCTGAAAACCCAGAACAAGCAGCCAGTTCATTTGGGCGACATCGTGTGATTACTGATCGATGGAAGGGAATGAACCAGGATCAGCTGATGGCAATTCGTTACATTCAACAGCAACAAGTTCTGGAGAAACTGGTATTCCAACTCATTTGCTTTCTGTATTATTAGATGGAGTGGTAGTACAAGCAGGGCTGCTAGCATCATCAATTACTTGACACTTCCTATTATAAGATCCTGTTTTCATTAGCTTATAGGTTTATAACAGAAGCTTCAGGGGGTAGCTGAGTTAGTCTGTATAGGACAAGCTTAAAAAAACAACAAATGGTCTGATAGAACTTTATAGACTAACAAAACATATTGATGGTATCATGAGCTTTCATAGGAACAGCCCACTTCTTCAGATGACCAGAGTTTGAGTTTAGGATGTGGAGATCCAAAATAAATAGGGGAGAAGGGAAAGTGGGGAAGGGAAAAAAAAGAAGGGGGGTTGGGAAATAAGGAGTAGAGGGCATGAAAATATCAAAGGGAAAAACAGGTATGCAGACTTCAACTGAATGGGCTGAATTTTTCCATACAACATGTCTTCTTCATGCTGAATTTATTTGTAAAAAAACCATTTAAAATGGTCCAGATATTTCCGATAACAAGGCTAGAGAAAAATATGTTATATTGCAATCTGGCAACATTTTCTTTGAGAGGCTCTAATGGCCCCTTGCTTTGTATCAGGGACTTGATATTTGGTAGGGGTATTCTTCATATCACGGGTATTCCTTTTGCTGTTCCCGTTTCAATCTGTGCAAATGTGGCTAGTTTTAAGCCTTTGAAAAATATTAGTTTACACACGTTCAGTAGAATTTTGTTAAGAGTTTAACAGCTAAAATCTGTGAAGATTCCATTCTCACTGAACCTGTTTCATCCCCTCAACTCCTAGTACTGATCAGACTGTACATATGCCACCCCATATTGTGACTGCACAGGTTTCAACCCAGGACTCTGGGGGCTGGCCTTTTCTTAGAATTGCAGTTCCCAGATGTTCTCAGCTAGTGTAGGGCCATATAATAGATTGAATTCAAAGGAGTCTTGTCTCTCCTGCGATTTCAGTAACTGTTCTGCTGGCACCCAGGGAGCATGCAGTAGGAAACAATAGCCAAACTGGAGAGGAGAAAAATTACAATACATTGGAACAAGGAACCTGCTCAGATTGGGACTGGAGAGTCGGAGAGAGTAAACTTGTGAGTGGGGGTTGGGAAGCTCAGGCTGTAAGACTGGGGCTGTCAAGGCTCGGAGACTGGGGCTACATCTATACTGCAGCCTTCTTCGGCAAAAGCTTATTCAAATGAAGCATGGAGTAGAATATCGCCACGCTTCATTTGCTTAATTAATTAGCAGACGTTTTTGCACAAAAGCCTCTTGCACAGAAAGGATATTACAATTGGGAGCAGGTGGGGAGGCTAGAATTGGAAGTGATGAAGGAAATGGTGGAGGGGTCTTGTATCCAGGTGAGAGAGGGGAACACTGGATCTCATGAGAAGCTTGAGGAGTGCAGAGAAATTAAGAATTTTGGACAAGGAGACTGTGACTTGTAAGCCGATGTGGGAATATGGACAGAGTAGGGAGGAAAGCCAGAGGAAACCCCATGAGAAAATGATTAATTCTCTTTTCAGAGAAGGGTTTAAATAGTGTGCAGTAAATAGGACACGTGACCATACAGTGAACAAAGAGGAGAAATATTGTAATTGCTGCTCACTAAGGATATGTCTACACAGCACCTTAAACTCAAAATAAGATACGCAATTTGCGCTATGCAGCTTGCGTATCTTATTTTGATTTACTTTTGAAATAGGCTATTTCAAAATTTGGCGCATCTACACAGCTTCAAATTTTGAAATAACGAGCTATTTCAAGACATCCCTGAACCCTCATGGAACGAGGGTTACTGGGATGCCGAAATTGTGCGCCTGTTATTTTGAAAAATATTTCAAAATAACAGGCGGCTTATGTAGATATGGGGTAGTTATTTCGGGGTATCAGAGGTATCCCGAAATAGCTGTGCAGTGTAGACGTACTCTAAGGCTGTGTCTACATTGGCCCCTATTCCGTAATAGGGATGCAAATGTAGCACTTTGGAATAGGCAAATCCGCGGGGGATTTAAATATCCCCCGCGGCATTTGCATTAACATGGCTGCCGCTTTTTTCCGGCTTGTAGATAAGCCGGAGAAAAGCGCCAGTCTGGACGCAATCCTCCGGAAAATAAGCTCTTTTCCGGAGGATCTCTTATTCCTACTTTAATTATATAATCACATATTTATCCTAATTCATATGCATAAAGAGGCAAGTTATGATGTACAAGCAATCTTAATTCTGGCCTATCCTAACTTTTGAGCTCTTGACATTTCAGTCTTAATAATATTTTAATATAGTGTTCTGTATGTAATTTTTTAGAGATTGATCTTTCCATAAATTATCTTAAATTCCAGGAGCTGTTTCATACCAGGATGGTAATGTTCATTATAAAGCAGCTAGTTAATATGTCAAAGAGTTGTCCATCTTTAATTTAACTTCACTTTTTAACAGTTTCACCAGTCCTAAACAACTGTGCTATGTTTTTTCAGAGACATATTGGGGCCAACAGCCTCACTGGGCCCATGGCAAGGTGCGGGGTGGGCCCTACTCCTCGCTCTCGGAAGGGGCGAGGCCTCAGGCAGAAGGGGAAGGGCTGGGGCTAGGCAACCCTCAGCGTTGCCCACGGTGCACCAGGCCTCCCTCCCCCTAGGCAGTCCTCAGCACTGCCTGGAACATGCCGCATGGTGCTCCAGCAGCTACGTAAAGGACCCTGAACTCTGGCCGCTGCCGCTATTGTCCCTTTCCCCCCACCCTATTGGCAGGTTTACAGAGACACCAAAGGCAGTTTAATTTTGACTCACAGTTGCAAACAGTGTAGAACTGCCTTTTCTGAATCTGTCTAAAAGGTTAAAGCAACACTGTGATACACGTGGGGGAATGTGATTTGAGGCAGTGACAGACAAATTGTAAATGCAGGATATACAGGAGAAGGAAGAAGATTCTGAGTCAAAAATTATGTCAAGATTATAGAAAATGAGCTAGATATACTCTGATATCCACCTGGTGGATAAAATGCACAGTACTACACTGCAACCCTCCCCCCGACCCGACACCAAGAGACACCAAGCTGGCCAGCACAGCCTTAAATGTAGACCACTCTAGCCAGGAAGAAGACATTGCCAGTCTGATCAGATTTGCACCAGTTTAGTGAATCCTCTTGGATATCATTCTTTAGTCAGTGGCTCTCCTACAGAGAACTCCGACTGAATTAAAAGCTACCTTTTCCTGAATATAACCCTAGGAAGGGAATGTAATGAAACTACTGCCTGCCTTCCTCAGGGATGAATGTCTTCCAGGAGACATCAACTACTGCTCGTGGAGGAGGGCGCAATGTGCATCCTTCCGTCATAACAGGGGGTGAATCAAGTCCATTAAAGACAAATGGATTCATTACATGAATGAATTTGTTAATAAGTCTATTTAAATATTGTTTTATTTTTGAGTATGAAGGGAAAGCAAACTTTTATTTTTTTCATCCAGAGACTGCAGGAGGAAGAACGTCAAAGAAATGCAGAGTGGGACAGGCAACGTATTCAGACCGCTAGAGCACAACTTCTTTTTGAGCGGCATCAACAGCGGCTAAATCGAGAACTTCGCAAAACGCTAGACAATACCAATGCAGAACTCTCCCAGGAGCAGAAATCAAGGTAAGTGCACAAGGGCTTATTTTATTGCAGATGAAACACTTTCCCAGTGACATCTTGACATTATAAAATTGCTTAGAAAGCTTGCTGTACTTGTCATAAGATGTTTTGCCATTGATTGTACTTTTAAAAATTGCAAGTTTAGAGCAAGTGCATGGGTTTTGAAGTATGAAATAAAAAGAAAACTGTTCTCAAGAGAATATCCTGTTTTTCTTTGAGTGATGCCCCCGTAGGTGATCCACTGTTGGTGACTGGTCACTCAGAGCTGCGGATCGGAGCATTGCAAAGTAGTTTCCCGTCCCCACCGCTGCATCGAGCCATGCATGTGCAGGAAGCATCGTGCACCGCAGCCTCCCGAGCACATGACACACGCAGCCTGGTCTCTCCCCTTCAGTTCCTCTTCAGCAGCGGACGGATTTTTCCCAAAGTGTTCTCCAAGACACTCGCTGTCATAGCAGCATACTTACGTCGCCAAAGAGTTATGATTTATCCCTATTTAGAAGACTGTCTAATAAAAGGGCCATTGGAGACAGAGACTCTATACATGATATTCGTAACCAGATTCATGTTCGAATTCCTAGGCCTCGTTCTCAATGAACAGAAGTCAATGCTTCTGCCTACAAAAACCTTACACCTCATTGGACCCCATCTAGATTAAACCACAGCAAGGGTGTACCTACCAAGGCAATGATTCCAAGCAATCCAGGACCTTGTTTTTACCATCACAATCATCCCCAGAGTTTCAATACTTACCTGACTTCAACTCGTGAGGCATTTTGCAGCTACAACTTATGTGGTTGCTTATGCAAGGCTCCACTTTTGTTGTCTTCAACTTTGGCTAGCTTATTCTCACAGAAAGCAGGACAAACGCAGACAGGTGTCCCCATCTGCCGATGTCATAACGTCTCTGAAGTGGTGGACTGAGCCAAGCAATTTATTGGCAAGTGTCCCATTCCACTGAGCCCAGCCTACCACACAGATAATTACCGATGGCTCCCTCATGGGACAGAGAGCTCATACTGGAGACATATCCATTCAAGGTCTATGGACGACCAAGGAATCTATCTTACACATCAACTTACTGCAACTCAGGGAAGTTGCAAATGCATACATACATTTCCTGCTACACATCCAAGGTACCACAGTAAGTATACTTACCGACAACATCTCCACACTGTATTATATAAACCATCAAGGGGGCTCTCATTCTCGCTGTCTGTGCACCGAGGCAGTTTGACTGTGGAACTGGTGCATCTGCAATGCAGTTACCCTAACAGCTTCCTACTTACCGGGAGCCAACAACGTGTTAGTGGACTCACTCAGCAGACATTTTGCACCAGACCACAAATGGGAGATCCATACACATGTCCTCCAACTGATTTTCGATTGTTGGGGTCACCCACAGAAAGACCTTTTTGCCTCATACGAGAACACAAAATGCCAGCATTATTGTTCCAGGGCTGGCATAGGTCAAGGATCTCTAGGGGATGCCTTTCTCCTCCATTGGTTGAGGATGGACGCCTCTCATACACTTTTCCTCCTACACCACTCATCCCCAGGGTTCTCAAGAAGATCAGCAGAGACGGCACAGCAGTGATTCTCATAGCCCCATTCTGGGCATGGCAAACGTGGTTCCCTTACCTTTACCGAATGTCTCCTCACTCACCTTATAACCTTCCCACGTATCCTGATCTCCTAACTCAGCACTATGGGACTCTGATTCACCCTCAACCCCACGTGCTACAGACCTCTCCCACGATCCAATGCCAATACAGCCGTGCCATAATTTTACCCACCATTTGCGCCCCTTCCTCCCACACTGGAAGTCTATAACATCAGACCGCTAGGTGCAAGAAATAATCTGTATGGGATACACTATCCCCTTTACTTCTACCCCCACCCTACTTCCTACCCTGTCCCTTTTCAGAGATCCCTTTCACAAGAGCCTGCTAAGACAGGAGGTCAATCGTCTCCTGCTGCTTGGAACCATAGAGAGGGTACCCAATGAATTCCATGGAAGTGTATTTCCTGACAGAGAAAAGAACAGGGGCTTAAGACTGATCCTCGATCTCTACAAACTGAACAAATTTCTCAGGAAGCAGCACTTAAAGATGGTCACGTTAACCACAGATATTCCAGCATTGGATCAAAGAGACTGGTTTGCAGACCTCAACCTTACAGGACACATACTTTCACATTACCATTCACCCAACTCATCGCTGTTACCTTTGTTTCATACTAGGAGCAGACTACTACCAATACAAGGTTCTGCCTTTCAGCCTCGCCTCAGTTCCCCGAGTGTTTTCAAAGGTCCTAGCCGTAGCCACTTCATACCTACAACAGCTACACGTAGTCATCTTCCCATATCTAGACTACTTGATAAAAGGGAGGTCAAGAAATGAGATTACCTCCATGGTGAACAAGACAAAAGCCCTCCTCACTTGTCTTGGTTTTCTAATAAACACACAAAAGTTGAAGCTAGAGCCTACCCAAAACAGAGTTCATCGATGTTTGACTCGACTCACTTTTGGCCCGCAATCATTTATCTCAATAGCAATTCGCAGCCATCAAAGATCTAATCACGGTCATATCCATGAGCCCTTCCACCATAATACTCTTCTGCCTTCAGCTGGCTGCAACTACATATGTCGTCTGTTATGCACGCTTGTATTCCCAATGCTTTCAACTATGAATAGCATCTGTCCACACTCCCTCATGCCACTCGTTGCACAAGAGTGTTACTGTACCAACAGATGTCCTCACATCCCTACGCTGGTGGACACTAGTGGACAATCTCCTGGCCAGCGTGCACTTCCACCAACCCCAGCCCGCAGTGCAAATCACAACAGATGCATCCCTGCTGGGTTGGGGAGCCCATCTTCCAGACCAGGTTGTCCAGGGCAAGTTGTCGCCATATGAGATGTCACTGCACATCAGTCTGTGAGAAAAATGCCTGCACAGACTTTGAACCCCAAATTGCCAATCGTACAGTGAGTCCTCAAAGACAATACTGCTACAATTTTTTACATAAACAGACAAGGCAGCGCCTGCTCCCATTCCCTATGCACAAAGGTCATCCATGTATGGAGCCAGTGCATCCACAACCAGGGTGTACTTGTACCTACCAGGAGTCACCAACTCCATTGCGGACTCTCTAAGCTGCAATTTTCCTGCGGACTATGAATGGGAGCTGCATCCCGAAGTCATGAATCTGATCTTCTCTCGATGGAGGTGGCCAAAAATAGACCTTTTTGCCACTCCCCACAACACCAAATGTCCCCGATTCTGCTCCAGAGCAGAACTCAGCAAGGGCTCGCTCAGGGATGTATTCCTGATCCAATGGAGGGCCCTTCTATGCCTTCCCCCATACCACTCATTCCCAGAGTACTCCACAAGATCTGCATGAAAGGGGCTTAAGTCATTCTGATAGCTCCATCCTGGCCACACCAAACAGAGTTTCCATTCCTGCACAGGCTGTTGACTCAACCTCCATACCCATTACCACGTCAACATGACCTTCTTTTCCAGAATCATGCGATGATGATGGTGTAGCCTCAGCTGCACACCCTTTACCTCCATGCATGGCTCCTGTCTGGTTTGGGGAACTTGAGACCCAATGCTCTCAACAGGTGAAGGATGTTCTCCTCCAAATTAGGAGACCTTCCACTCGAAAAAAACTTACCGCAAAAATGGACTTGTTTCTCTCACTAGTGTCAAAGAGCGATGAGGGACCCTTGTACGTCCCCCCTGAAGAGGAGGGGCTGGGCTTTGTGTATCAGGCACTCGGGAGGCAGCAGTGCGAGATGCCTCCTGTGTATGCTTGGCTCGATGGGATTGGGGGGGGGGGGAGACTGCTTTGAATGCTCCAATTTGCAGCTGCAGGCGACCCGTCACCAACAGTGGAGCATCCACGGGGACACACATCTTGAAGAACACAATGAGTAACTTTCTTTTACTGTTACTAAATTATACATCATATATATAGTATGTATGTGAGACTCTGTAAGGCTCAAATGCTGGCTGTTCCCTCTAGGCAGCACTGTTGCCTGAGTCATGTCCTTTGCCTCCCACCATGGTGCTTGGTTGACTTCTGCACCGCTCAACTGGGCCGCATCGTGGGAGAAAGCGGCGCAAGTAACCGTTTGGGCTCCGTGGTCCCCCGAGTGAGAGGCAGGAGGGGGAGGAGTAGAGAAGGAGAGAGAGAAAGAAAGTGGAGGAGAGCTGAGAGAGAGAGAGAAGAGGAGACAGGAGGAGGAGAGAGAGAGATGGAACGAGAGACCGGAGGCTCAGGGGAGAAGGCCGACGTGGAGGAGGAGACCTGAAAATCCCGTCTTCTGACGGGCAATTGGCTAGTTTAGAATAATGGTTCAAAACCTGACAGTCATTGTGCAAAGTGTCACATTGTGTTCATTGTACATAGCAGAATACAGATAGAAAAGTGGGGAAAGATTCATAGATTCCAAGGACAGAGGAAACCATTATGATCATCTGTGTTCATTGTACATAGCAGAATACAGATAGAAAAGTGGGGAAAGATTCATAGATTCCAAGGACAGAAGAGACCATTATGATCATCTGGTCTCATCTTTGTAATACAAGCCATTAGAACTTCCCCTAAATAATTCCCAGAGCATATCTTTTAGAAAAACATCTGATCTTGATTTTAAAATTATCAGGTATGAAGAACCTAGCACAATTCTTGGTAAATTAATCTAATGGTTAATTACTCTCACTGTAATTTACATCATATTTCCAGTCTGAATTTCTGTAGCTTCAAATCTAGCCTCTTGATCATAGATGCCAACTCCATGGATGTTCTGGGATTGGAGCACCCATAGGAAAAAAATAGGGAGTGCTTTGCACCCACCAGTCCCAGCTGTTTTTCTATTGGTGCCCCTATTGAGCTAATTGGGGGACCCCCAAACTGCAGTTTGGCATCTTGGGAAAGGGATATGGGGAGGTTGGAGAGCAGTGATCAGCAAGGGCCTCAGTGAGGGGGGGTGAGCAAGGCGGGAAGAGGTGCAGCAAGCGTTGAACACCCCCAGAGAAAACTAGAATTCAGTGCCTATGCACTTGATCATATTAAACTTTTCTCTGCTAATTGGAGAACCCATTATTAAATATTTGTTCCCCATGTAGATATTTACAGACTGTAATCGAGTCAACTCTTAACCTTCTCTTTTGTTAATGTACTAGTCAGAAAAGGGTAATAAATACAATGGAAGTATTGTTTTAAACCATGCATGTCTACTTAATTCAGCTCACTCTCCAAATCAAAAAAGATGGGACCCCATTGAGTTCAGTTGAGCTATGTCAATAACAGCCCAGTATAAGGCCCAGTGGCAGAGTTCAGCTATAAATAACCATCAAGAATGGTCATAAATGAGCTTATCTGTGGACAGATGTATATGCCACACTGAAGATAAAGAAAAACTAAAAATGAGCGTTTTTTAAAAAAACATCCCTGCAAGCCAGTGTCAAAATCCTAGTCTTTAATTCTTTGATTTTTTTTAGTTCATGCCTAGATTTTGTGCGAGAAATTCAAGTACCTAACAATTTCCTACTCTTAAAACAATATGAAAGAATTCTAAGTCTACATTAATACTGTTGTCTCAACACTAATAAAGTGGCATTTTGGGAACATGATTTTAGAGAGAGAAAAAGAGAGTGTTTCTGTCATCTTGAGAAAGTTATACCTATTTATTTTGACTTCAACTAAAATATGTACAGGTTGAACCTGTCTAGCCTGGCACTTTCTGGTCCGGCAACATCCTCAGCCAGCATGATTTTAGTTAGACGGAAGTCCACTTATCATGAGTGTGGCCAAGTTTCTTGTGGTCCCATAAAGTTTGTTTACAGCCACCAGTCCTGGCTCTCAGTGTTCTGTGCTGTTATTTAGTTCTATTTTACCCCAAATGTTTTCTAAGAGTCCAGTAAGCAGTGGAAGTGTTGGTAATGCTGCTAGACAATATTGACCTCCCATGTTCTGGCAAATTCTCTGGTTCTGCACTGGTTAGGTCCTAAATGTTCCCGACTGGAGAAGGTCAACCTGTAGTAATATATATTGTATTATACATAGTCCTGTACAAATGTATTTCACATTATTTTTATAATTTTAAAATACTGAGAAATTGTAAACATTTACTAATTGAGTCTATTTGATTTATTTCTAGAAAAATTTATCTTCAGGAGGAAGTGTATTCAAATTTTCCAACAGGCCAGTATTTCACACAGTTTAATACCATCAGCCGGTAACATATGAGAAACATCCACTCACTGAAACATAAATGTATGTAAGATTTATAGAAATATTAAAGTTTGATTAACTTTCACTGCTCTTCTATATTTTTCCCTAAACTTCCAATTAAGACATTAAAATAAACCCATATTTTCCTGATGACACATACCTGTGAGTCAAAAGCCTGAGGACTGTTATTTCTTGTAATTAATGAGAAATATAGAGATTGCTGCTAATTTAAGTTTTGGAGATATTTTTATAATTAATGTTTCTCAGGAGGGAAAGGAAAATAACCACGAATAACCCTGAAATGATTATTTGAGTGCTAATTTAGAAGTCACTGGACCAAACCAATTCCTGTTATGATTCCATCCTAATGAAGAATTTGGCCCATTGTGGGCTATTTATTTATTTATTTTTAATTTGTTTTTCAAATTATTTTGTTACTCATTTTTACTACTTTGAAGTTTTTGACTGAAACCTTCCTTTTAGAGGTTACAGAAATACTGAGATTACAGTATGACTGTCAGATAACTTAAAGTATAATAAAACTTGATCTTCATGTGTGCTTTTCAGAGACCCTACTTTATTTTAAAATGCAGGAGGGAGCAATTGCTATTGTTGTGAACAAAGAAAATGAAATGTTTCTGCATATTTCTCCATTTTATATATAGAGAGAGGTTTCTCAGTACTCCCAGTTAAAGTTATGTACAGTCACTATATCCTATGTCCATAGTTTTTCAACAATAAAACACTGAGATTGTGTTTCAATACTTGTTGAAAGGTGAAAAATGTGATAGAAATGAAAATTGAAATAAAATTGAAATAACTTGATCAGATGCTTGTAGTGTTGCTTTTCTTGTAACTTGTTCTCAATGTCTGACTAACCCCTCCTCCCCTTCCCAATGCACTGAACCTACATAACCTCAAGGCCACCCTTATCTGCAATAGAAGGAAAATATGTTAGTTGGAACTATTTTCAAAGCTTGCTCTTACCAGAAAACACTAATAGGATCCATAGTAGCTTTTTAGCTAGCATAAACCAAGCTTAACCATGTAATAAACTATTTTAAAATCCAATTTTCCGGGAAAAGTCATATTTAAAAATAAAAAACAGGACTGTGTAGCACTTTAAACTGTTCTTGCCATTTCAACCAGAAGGGACATTGTCTCAACAACTTGGTTACCTGCATCCTGCTTCAAAGACATTTTAAGACTTCACTTCAAAGAGAATCCTCTGAACTGTCATTCATGCTTAAATTCGACACTTTACACTCAAATTTGAATAAAGATGCTAATTATCTTACCCATTACAAATATAGCTTCTCCAATTATCACCTCTAATATCATTAGCTCACAGACATTTACCTCCCCCCCTTCTATCCCCCTTCTGTTCTGCAATGTGATTTGTCCTTTTCATATGTGTTCATTTTTTTTAATTGTATCCTTTGGTATATATGGTTGTGACAATTTTCTTCCACTATTTGATCTGAGGAAGTGGGTCTGGCCCACGAAAGCTCATCACCTAATAAACCATCTTGTTAGTCTTTAAAGTGCTACATAGTCCTGTATTTTGCTTCAGCTACACCAGACTAACACGGCTAAAAAATACTTCTGGCTAATATAGGTTCTCCCCAACACAGAGTTGGGGAGTGAGCTGCTGGATTCTCTGTGTCCACATTGCCAGGATATTAGAATAATTGGTTTCTGTAAATGCAGATCTTCATCTCTTCTTTTCATTCTGGGCATATGCAGGATTGGTACAGAAAACTTTCCTTCCAAAGTGCAGGGGGAGTGTAAGGACTCTTGCGCAGCTGCTTAGCAAGTAGGTCCTGCACTCAGCCCCATATGGAGATAAAGTGATAAGGTTCTTCTTACTGACATAATTTTCACATCCATATTTCACATGCACCAACCAGAGTGTGTCATACGATTCTTTTACTTTACACATTCAAATCTAATCCACCTCAATAAGACAGCCTTCACTATTATATAGAACACAGGAATTTGTTGGTTTTATGGGAGATATGGCAAGGAAGTTATCATTACAGATAAGTGCATCCAAGAACTCCTTTATAAACTTTTAATTAGATTTTTTAGGTCTTTGATTGTATTTTCATAGTAACATATCAAAAATGTTAGCTTCTTTGAGAAAAAATTTCTGCTGTTACTGAGTTCTATGACATTGTCTCTCTCTTGTTTTCAGCTAGTCAGTATTCTGGCTTCTATTATGTTTTCTTCTGACTTCTCCATTTTTACCTGAGAAAATAGCATATGTCATAACGATTATGTGGAATGAAAAGATAAGGAAAAAGCAGAACTAAATGGATTTTGAAGTTTGGTGTATTTATCAGTTTCAGCAATTGTAGCAAGCCATTAGCATTCTTGAGATAAAAGCCTGATTCTAATGTATATTAAGGCTCCTTTATGCTGGTCTGCCTGTCTAAAGGTATCTTAAAGTGGATGTAAATGATAATCAGCCTTAAGTATTCACCTTTCAATAATTGAGGTCTGGATTATAAAATCCTTACACACACTGATGAGACCTTACACAAGTAGTTTAGTTGACTCATTGTGTAACAGACACCTACAAAGTGATTATCTCAGCATTGTATCTGGTATTGTCCCATAAATATAAATGGCCCCTGCAGAAAATCACATGGGGAAAAACGCTTACCACAGGGTGACTTAGAAGGGCTTTCACTGGTGTAAAGGTGTATGCAAACCTCGGGCTTTAACCTGAACTCAGATACTATAAATGGATGTGCATTTCAATGTTCTGAATCTCAAGGCCTAATTTCCTTTTAAGATGTAACAGAAAAATGGACATGCCAAGAAGTATCATGGGAGACTGTGATGGGGTGCAGTCACAGAAGACTGCTTGGGGGTGCTTCCCAGAATGCTGACAAACCACTGACACTCGCCTTCTTGTTTTCTGGGGCTTCTCCCTACCCTACCCTGCTGGACCAGCCCACCTGGTCTGCTTCCAGCCAAAGCACAGAGCTGAGATCAATGCCCACTCTCACCCCGAGGAGCAGTACAGACACTGAAATTATTCAGGTCTGAGAAAAATGCAGATTTGGGCCCAGCTTCCTGGAATGCCACTCCCCAAATGGGATCAGAACCCCAAATGAATTATTTAGGTAAGCCCCCTTTAACAATGAAAGGAGGATGTTTTCCTCCTGATTTCTCCCCCAGGTAACAATTATCTACACTGGGCCTGGTTGTAAATAAAAGTAAGTACAAGCAGTAGGATTAAGTACAAGCACTATTAAGTACAAGCAGTAGGATTTAAGAGGTTGCAAGCAATGTTCCCTCTAAGATTTTTATCCTTAGGCTGGCTGAATTTTCTTTTAGGCAAGTTGAAATATCCTACGTACAACACCAATATTGAGGTAGTGTGTGGATGTGCACCCACCAGTACAAACAAAAAACGTAGATATAAATATATATTTTAAATAGTACATCATAGAGATTTTAAATTTAGTTTTATCAACTAATTGACTAGTCGATGGATTTTTTTTATCGATTAGTTGATAAGCAGGGGAGCTGCAGTGGGATTAACTCCCAGCCCAGGAGTTAACTCCTCTGTGGGTCTGCCTTTTAAATGTATTAAGAGCCTGCCCGCTCTTACTACATTTATTTAAAAGGCTAAAGCGCAGCAGGAGGGGGAGGGACCTAGCACAAGCCAGGAATTGGCTATCCCAGCTCATTCTGGGTCCCTTGTGCTGTGCTTTAACCTTTTAAATTTATTAAGAACCAACAAGCTCTTAATACACTTAAAAAGCAGAGGTGCAGCATTTGAGACTTGGCACAAGGCGGGAATCAGCTGATTCCTGGCTCACGCCTGGTCCCTGCACCCCTGCTGCCTCTCTTGCCCCTCATGGAGATGGTGCTGGGTGGAACCGACTTTTAAGCCAGCTTCCCCCAGCACTGCTCCTGCTTCCCCCATTTCTGCCTTTGATAGAGGTAGCAAGGTGTGGGGAAGCAACTAGTCAAGGGACTAGTCAACTAGTCTCTTACATCCCTAGTTCATTGGTGTGGAAGAAAATATATTAAAATGAAGGATAATTAACAAGGAGTAATGCTTATGATTATTTAATATGAAATCAAATAAAAAAGTTATGCTATGCTTGGCTGAAGAAGTGGGTTGTGCCCACGAAAGATTATAATACTACTGTATTTATATATTTTTGTTAGTCTCAGGGGCTGCAGGACCATTGTTGTTTTTTAAGTTTTTTTAGTTACAGACTAACACAGCTGTTCCTCTGAGACCGTAGAGTATATGAATCATCCTTTCTAAGAGACTGATGCATGTTTCAAAGATCTAGCAAATAAGGTTTCATCCTACAAAAGAGCTAGCATCACACCTAATACTTACTGCTTCAGACTCATAAGAACCAGAACTCTACCAGACAACAAAGATCTGGCCTTAATGCCATACAGTTTACCGTGTATTAATTAATAACACAGGATTTTAAAAAATCATTAATAAGAGTTTTAGATATCTGCAACACTCAAAAAATTCTTTTAAGAGAATCTTTTTCTCTCTTACCTTAAGCCATTTACATGGATGGGCAATAATTTGTGATGGGGGGGGGCGGGCACTCCAAGAATTGGCAAGCGGTCGAGGGCCACACTCATGCATTATATTAATGAAGGAGGAATAGGGATCTGGGACAGAGGTTGGGTGGGGAAAGGATCTTGAGGTAAGGAATTGGGGTGTGTGATCTGGGAGGGAGTTTGGGTGAAGTAGGGGACTGTGACTTGAGGCAACAGACTGGGGTGAAGTGGGAGTGCACGGCCTGGAAGAGGGTTGTGACCTGGTGCAGAAGTGCAGGAGGGGGTGCAGGGATTTGGGCTGTGCCCAGGGATCGTGGATTGGGGTGCAAGGTCGGGGGGGGGTTGTGACCTGAGGAAGGGTATAGGAGGGGATAGAGTGTCTGGAAAGATGTATGGGGGCTAGAGCAGGGGTGCAGAAGGTTTGGGTTACATGTGGTAGGAGTGGCAAGGAGTCCTGTGGCACCTTATAGACTAACTAAAGTGTAGGAGCATAAGCTTTCGTGGGCAAAGACCCACTTCGTCAGATGCATGTTGCCCATGCATCTGACGAAGTGGGTCTTTGCCCATGAAAGCTTATGCTCCTACACTTCAGTTAGTCTATAGGTGCCACAGGACTACTCG